ATTTTTGAGTTACTTTTCAAAAGAAACATTTAATAATCCCATTAATGTACGTATAACATCACTGAAGTGCAGCATGGAGAATACACTGAATCAACTGAATCAGTTTTAATTAATTTACATTCTCACAACTAAAACACTAACACTAATTTATTTAAGTCAGACCAGCAACACAAAAATAAAAAAATATCACAAAGTGATAAACAAGCTGAATAATATATTCAGTAACAAAAAAAGCAAAATCTAAAGTTACTTCAGCGTCATAAAAGTTTGTGTTTAACCCTTAAACATGTTCCTTCAAAGCTTGTGTGTGAAAACCAGTAACAATATACAACAAACACAAAACCTTCTGAATTAAATAGATGACAATAATCTGAATCATCATTCAGAATCAATTTGGTTAAACCCAGCACTAAAAAAACTACTATTATAGACAACTATAACGTTTATGCATTTTAAACAGAACAAAAATATAATTGCTGGTCAAAAGTTACATTTCAAACTAACCACAAATCAAACGTGGTATGTCAACAACCTTTGGGAAAAAAAAATGGTATATTCAAACAATATACAAAACAAACCAATATACAAATCAATAAAAAAAAGAAATCACAGTGTTTTTCTTAGGTATACAACACTATACATTTTAATAATGTGTTCTGAAATGTAACAGAAATGTGTTAATGTGTCTACTGAACTAATCAATGTTGTTATACAGTTAAGAAATGTGTGCTTATTTATTTGAAACAACAAATATAGTAGTAGTAGTAATAGTAATTAATAATAGTAACTTGTGTGCACACTTGGACTTTCTTGGTCTCTCGTGTGCACAATTGGTTTACCTTGCGTGCATTTATTCTCTGCTTTCGCTCGACTTTTGTATGTATTAACTTACCAGGTAACGGACAAACGCATCATGTTGTAATGATAACGGAGCTACTATATTTAAAAAGTAATGTGATACAGTATTAGATACTGTCAAAACTATTGTTGTTACAGTAACACATTACTAGAAACGCGTAATTAACCAACACTGCTTACAGGTAAGTGTGTTGAAGTAGGGTTGGAACTAAACGCTGCAGCGCTGCGGCCCTCCAAAAGTTTAATTAGGCTGAAATATTTTTTTCTCCTAAAACAAAAATTCATGCCATTAAAGTCTCTCCAGATAAAAATCATCGGATAACATTTATAATAGAGCATTACAAATGTATACGTTTATCATTTTAGTTTCTGGTGAAATATTGACATTTTGTGAGTTCTTCCCCTTTTAATAAATGTTTGTAGATCGCATGAAAAAGGTCATGTAAAAGCTGCCATGCAGACAACAATATAAAACGAAGACTACTTGTAAAATGTGGTCTGAGTTTAGTTGGAATTAGGTTCAGTTGGGTTCAAAAAGTAACTTGATGCAGGGCTGCAAAGTATATCATCATATATGTCACGTCGCATGATGTGGAATGTTAAGTCTGGATTATATTTGACCAAGAGCCAAAGTTCAGAACATGTGAGATTTGTGGAGTCATTGCAGAGATTAAGCATAATGGAGTCAAAGTTTATCTTTTGCATGTGTTTTTGAGGCACTGTATGAGGGTTTTACTACAGGGTTCAACACTAAGGATTATTTCTCGGGCCCGATTGGGCCAGTGGTTCAAATTTTTACTTTCCCTGCCAACAGTTTCACTGGCCTCACCAAAAAAAAAGAAGTTAATAGCCATTTTAACAATAAACATTTTATTTTTAATAATGTGACAAAAGCCAAATATAATTCTATACATACACTATTTATTCAGCATATACATCTTATCACGCAATAAAAAATATCGCCGTTAATTTATTCTCAAAGTTGGGTTGGGTTGGGAGCTGGGTCTATTCTACACAAGCTTTTCCATTTAGCCTGTCCATTTATTCACTTGTGTAAATGTGTGTAAATTTATATTTATTGAGTTTTAAGTTAATTTCAGCAATATTATTGACCAATATGAAAATGTTAATTTGATTTGTTTACAATACTGTTTGTAAATTAATATTTTCTGTCTTTTACTAGATATATTATATAAGAGACTTACTTTGTTTACCAAATAAGAAATTCTAACAGGATTCACATTGTAAACATTAAATAAAAGTTAAAATTGCACATTTTTTTTATGTCATATAAGTTTTTAGGTATAATAATGCTAAAATCATTCTGTATAAATCCACAGATTTTTTTTTTTTTTTACAAAACTTTGCACAGAAAATCTAAAACATTTCTGCAGCTTCTGTCTGGTCCTACTCATGGGTCTGCAATATCATTTTTCTTGCCTCCACACTTTGTTTTGAACTAACTTTGAAGGCTTTATTACATTTGTACGTCTGGACAACTGTCTGTGATCTTCTTTTGACGCTCCTAATAAACACTGTTAGTGCTTTTTTGGATCTGTTTTCTATGGTTGAAATTTAAGTTCTCAGTTAATGAATTTTTATATGATTAAAGTGAGGTCTGTTTTCTTTTCCAAAATGGATTTGGCTATCAATTAGATTTTGCCTCTGATTTTGTGCTGTGAGAGTACTCCAAATTATTGGTGGGCATAGATTAATTTTTTTCAGTCAAGATTATTCTAGATTAAAATGGCTCATTTGAATTCTGCTAGAGGCATTCAGAATATGTGTGCTACTCAAATAAGTCTTTGACAACAAGATTTTTTCAAGCCAGGTGGTGCATTAGACCAGGGGCTCATCTCCTGTTTCCAAAATGCATCACAGACAGCTTGAAACACTTTTACTCTGATAATTGGTGATAAAAATAAATGATGTTCAATAAGATGTACTTGTGTTTATTAACTGTTTATTCAGTTGAACATGAGTTTTGAACTGTTTTGTAGGCCTACATAAGCTCGAAACAAAGCGATTCTCAATTACCTTAATCTGACAAAAGTCATAACTGAAGTAAACAGAAATGAAATTAAAACATGAGTATGCATATACAGATGAAGTCAGAATTATTAGCCCCCATGAATTATTAGACCGCTTGTTTATTTTTCCCCTAATTTTATCTTTACCATGATGACTGTAAATAATATTTTACTAGATATTTTTCAAGACATTTCTATACAGCTTAAAGTGACATTTAAAGGCTTAACTAGGTTAATTAGGTTAACTAGGCAGGTTAGGGTAATTAGCTAAGTTATTGTATAACAATAGTTTGTTCTGTAGACTATCAAGAAAAAAATGTAGATTAAAAGGGCTAATAATTTTGTCTCTAAAATGGTGCAAACTCTGTACCGCATCGGGGGCCTGTTTCAGAATGGAGGTTAAGTGAAAACTCAGAGTATTTTAAACCCGAAATGAGAGAAACTCTGGGTTTTCCGTTTCAAAATGGCAGGTTTGTTAAACTCGAGAAAGCAGGGTAAGTCAAGCCTGTTTCTGAAAGAGAGGTAACTTTAACTCAGAGTCAGTTACTGTGGTAACTTACTCTGTGAACCTAACCTGGTCCGGAGCAGGTTTTATTCTCGAGTTTCTGTCGGTCTCCTCCAAATTTTTTAAAGACAAAGTGGTATTACTCGCCTTAGCTTTACGGTTCCACCCACCTGTTTTAATGCTCATTTTGAATATGTGCATAAAAACAATTGATGGAAACATCATGATGCACATAACATTTAAAAATATGCATAAAAACACGCGCATAACTGAGTAGGATAAACTTTTATTTGTTAGAAAATATGCGTATAAACTATGATGGAAACACTTTTACTGAACAAATTACAGTATGTACATTAAAAAGGTCATCATATGATGATGAAAATGTGTGTGAATGGACAAAGCAGGCTGAGCACACTGTAACACGCCTTAAATGTTGTTTTGGTCATTCTAAAATGCCTTAACTGTTAAAATTATTTTTACTACTGCTTATCTTCTAAATGTTATATCAACCTCTATCACTTGATCAGTAAAAAAGGCAGACACACAAGTGCACTGTTAAATCTATTAAAACTAATAAACGTGTATAAAAGTTTAGAAAAAAATTATAAACATCACACATTGCATTACTTATTTTATTATACTTATATTTAAATATTTTAGATGTAAAATTACGCATTAACTTGAGCAGCTGTTTTCCCAGGCTAACTGTCTCTGTTTCACTGATGGTTGCTTCTTTTTAAATATATACGCTCATAACTTTGCATGAGCACATCAAGTTCAGCTGGAGAAAGAAATGGTCATCTCTTTTTTTTTTAAGATGTTGCCATGGTCACTTGTAATATCTGCTCTCCTTGATAATGCTAGTCACGGTGTGCGCGCTTAACTCTGAGTTGGTCTACTTAAAGTTGATTGACCCAGCTCAGATCAGCTATTCTGAAACCGAAATCTCTCGGTAAATCAACTCAGAGTTCAACTTTAAACTCTGAGTTGTTTGAACCTCCTTACTGAAACAGGCCCCGGATGTAATTCCCTCGCTGTAAATGCTAGCACTCCTGTTTTTTTTTTTTTTTCTGCAACCTCGATGCGCATGCATCATGAATGTTTACAAACCGGCAATTTGCTTATTGGCCCCTGGACTGCTTGTTTTGTTCTGCTTCTGGACTGCTTTGCTCATTCTGGCTCTGAACTTTTTGGACCCTTAATTGCTGCTTGCAGCTATATTATTATGATCAGTTATTTTTGGAACAAACTAATAATAAATCTTACAATTATCAGTGCTTTTTTGCCTTGCTTCATAGTATTGTGGAAACTGTTTTATGATTATTTCATCATCAAAAAGGCTTTCAAAATAATAACTTTTCTTTGCATTTATAAAATAAATACAGCCTTCGTGTGTTTATTATAGAACATTAAAAAATTCTAATTCCAACACTGGAGGAGAGCCTGGCTACAATTACACCAGGCTTTGGACTGCTGCAAACATGGGCATTGTTAATTCTCTTATCTTCAGCAGTAGGTCAATAGACAACTAATTGGGTGTGCTTAAGGTGCAAAACATCTCTCTTTACAAAAATAGATTTTATTTCATTAGGCTTTAAACTCACCATACTGTTGAGGTCTGAGCCAAAGCTTCCACATGGGTGTCCAGAGCCTCCGAGTGCCTCCATCCCCTCTTCATCCCACATGTAAGTTCCTCCAGAGCTGTCTGAGGGTGACAGGTCCAGAGATGAGCCATGAGGAAAATCGCCCACTGGAGATGACGAGTCATGCTCAAACCTATCTTTGCCACCTGAAATAAAGACAATAAGCTGGGTAAGAATGTGACAGAGATATTTTTAAGGCATCTTAGTGACAGCATGGACTGCTAGTTAAATTACAGGAAGTATTTTATAAATGCTCCTTTTAAAAAGTATTTTTTAAGCAACATTCAGAATGAAAACACTGTCTCAGAGGGGTTTTTGCAATATAATGCCTTTTAACTAACCTTCTTTTCACCAAAACCTAAGACCACATATAAAAAATGTAAAAAAAATCCACAGTGAAAAAATCCATATTTATGTTTTTGAATTACATTATATCTTTCTTCCACAAATCTTTAACCTCAAAAAGATCACCTGGAATAAACTGCCAGTACATCTTCTGTTATTTTACAGACTTATTTATGTCTTATGTTTTATTTACATTATTTCAACCTACAAAATGTCAATAAAAGTCACTTTGTTAAACTGCAGAGTTGAATTTTTTTAAAGTCGACAGAGCAGAGATTAGGGTCCCATAATGCAATTTACAACCTTATACATGTTAATTAACAGATTTTTTTTACAGTGTATTGTTTACATACGTATTACATACATACACGTTTGTGTAGTACATACTGTGATAATAGACTGTACTGTATTTTAGCATTTGTTTTGGGAGTTTGCAATACAAAATTCAATTTCAATTTTCTAAATGCTACTTTAAAAGCATTTTAAGCAACATTCAAATTGATAGAGGGGTTACATTATGTTGCCTTCTAATAAACATTCTTTTCACCAAACCCTGAGACTGCATAAAATATATTATTTGCATACATTGTAAAAAAACACCTCAAAAAGTTTAAAAAGCGATTTTTATTGACATTTTTACTAGTTTAAAGTGATATATTGTTGGTTGGTGTTGTATATTATGATACAAAAAACCTAGAAGAAACTGCCAATTCATTTTCTGTTATTTTACGGACTTATTATTCTGTCTTATTCATTATATTCATACTATTCCAAACTAATAAAACGTCAATAAAAGTTATTTTGTTAAACTTAAGAGTTGAATTTTCAACAGATTATAACTAATTAACAGGTATTTTTACAGTGTAGTTACAATTACATAATTTAGCATGTAAGTGTTCACATACGTATTACATACAGTACATACATATACAGTATCTGTAGTACATACTAAGATAACAGAATGTACTGTGTTTTAGCACAAAAAGAAAATTTATTACACAATTCAACTGTTTTAGGGGTTTGCAATACAAATTCCAATTTTAATTTTCTAAATGCTACTTTAAAAAGCATTTTTAGGCAACATTCAAATTGAAAGCACTGTCTCAGAAAGGTTTTCCATATTTTGTGATTCATGTATTTGTATTTGTATATGTATTTGTATTTTGTGATTTTTATTTTTTCTCAGTTTATTTATGCGTTAAAATTGCATTATGGGACCTTGATCTTTTCTCCAATAATTTTTTATTTTATTTTTTTAATATATTTATATTTTTATTAAAAAATTTTTAATAGTTCAAAGTGATATATTGTTGGTTGATTTTGTATATTATGGTACAAAAAAAATCTCTAATAAACTGCCAGTACATTTTCTGTTATTTTACAGACTTATTTCTCCTTATATTATTTCTTATACATTATATTATTTTGAACTAATGAAATGTCAATTAAAGTCACTTTGTTAAAATTGACAAATGTTTGCAATATTTAGAGAAATGGATTGTACTTATGCTTTTACATAGTGTAATCTGATTTCTATATGTATTTGTTAATTTGACCAGTAAGAAAATTTGAGACCAGACAACTGTTCATTTAAGTTCTGGTGTTTTATTGTATTATTTATTTTTTATTATTATTATTATTTTATTCTATTATTTGTATTTTTTCCTTGTTTTTTTTTATCTTAAAAACGAGAAATAAAAATAAAGTATAAAAAAGTCACTTTGTTAAAATATAGAGTTGAATTTTCAACATCAAAAGTTAACAGAGCAAAGATCAAGGCTCCATAATGTAATTCCCAACTGTAAATAGACGGAAAACACTGTAAATAGACGGAAACAAGGCAATAAGGCGCAAGATATGTTTGGCCCAAGTTGTTGTTATTTTCAGAGCAGGACAACAGTAATTTTTATGTTTTGCCCATTAAAATGTTACAATATTTTTTCTACATAAATAGAAAAACTACAGTGTAGTCACAGAATTTAGAATGTAAGTGTTTACATGCATATTACATAAATACACATAAAGTATGTGTAGTACATACCAAGATAACAGAATGGAAAATCTTTACATAATTCGACTGTTTTGGGGGTTTGCAATCTTCAAAAAAATTGTATTTGAACACAAAATGTATTTAAACAGTAGAGTTCATTCTGACTCACCCAAGAAAAACTAAATCAATTATATGTTGTGAGAAATTAAGATAAAGTACAGAAACAAATGGAACAGTGTTTCATGAAATAATGTGAGACATTTTGGTTTGTTTGTTTTTTTGGTGAGCTATCCCTGTAATCTTTTTATTCCAACATTAATATACATTTCTATTATTATGTATGCATGCATGCATGTATGTAACTATTAATTTATTTATTTATAAGGAAGGTGTAAACCAATGGTGTCAAACTCAATTCCTGGAGGGCTGCAAACCTGCAGAGGTTAGTTCCAGCCCTGCGTCAACACATCTATCTGATGGTATCAAACAAGCCTAAAGCCCTTAACTAGTTTGATCAGGTGTGTTTAATTAAGGTTGGAACTAAACTGTGCAGAGCTATCTGAGTTTGACACCTGTGGTCTAGACCAGTGGTCACCAAACTTGTTCCTGGAGGGCCGGTGTCCTGCAGATTTTAGCTCCAACCCTAATCAAACACACCTGAACAAGTTAATCAAGGTCCTACTAGGTTTACTTGAAACATCCAGCCAGGTGTGTTGAGGCAAGTTGGAGCTAAACCCTGCAGGTACACCGGCCCTCCAGGATCAAGATAGGTGACCCTTGGTCTAGACTTGTGCAAAACTGGTGTCCTGCACAGTTTAGCTCCAACCCTAATCAAATACACCTGCTTATAGAATTCTTGTGATCTTAAAGACACTGATTAACATGTTCAGGTGTGTTTGACTAGTGTTGGAACAAAACTCTACAGGGACACCGGCCCTCGAGGATCAAGTTTGCCCATCCCTGGTCTAGACAGTTGCTGCGTCCCAATTTGCATACTATCCATCCTAAATAGTATTTAAAAATATAATTAGTATGTCCCAAATTGTAGTATGTTGAAAAGAGTATGCCTAAGGTTTCCTGATGGTTTACTATTTCCGGTAAAAATCTTAAGTGTAGAAACGTCTATACTCTAACAGCTGATATTGCGCACAGTACACTGCTCGCGCTGGATGTGAATTTGATAACTACAAACAGGGGTGAAAAGTGAAAAGAACAAACATGATGGACATGCAAAACCAACTGACAAGCAAAAAGGCTTCGGTAGAAATGTTTGTATGACTGTTAATTAATATCAAGCCAGCTGGAAAATAAATAAAATTGCGTTTTCTGTGTTATACTTCATCTGCAACAACAACACTGAACTTGTATAAAGAGGTGTTTGGACATTAACGTCTGAATGCATAATTATCCAGACTCTAGAATGGGAGATTAACCTGATGCTGCTTTCCCCATAAGGTAGGAAATAAATATGAAAGAAATGGGGGATGATGTGTGGCTGATTGACAGGACTTAGCAACAAAACGATCTGTTATCGAGGAAGTAGTATGTCCCAAAGCTTGCATACTCTTCTGTTACACACTCAAAAGTACATATTTTTCCTTCACAAAAAAAAAGTGCATACTTTTAGGGTCTAGTGTAAGTATGCAAATCGGGACACAGCAAGTGAGTCAACAAACTTGGGTTTTGACAGTCTAACAAAAATCTAAATAATAATGATAATTGGGAAAAGAAATGTCTAGGTGTAGTGCAATTTTTAGTCACACCTGTAAGGCCCATCCCTTCCCAGTCAACAGTTTCGGATAAGAAGGCATGCAGATTGGTCATCGATGAGTCCTCATTGCACTTGGTGACTAGGCCATTTTCATCTTCACACAGTCCTAAGTGGTCTAATCCATCTTTGTGAACAGGCAGAAACAGGGTCTCACCTCCATTCCCAAGATTATCAAAGTCATCCATGTACTCTTCACTATCATTGTGCTCCACAGAGGAGGAGGATGATAGTGACATATCCTCAAAAATCTCCAAAGAGCTCCCCACGCTCACCTCAAACTCCTTGACTTCGATTGGAGTCATGTTTGGTGTAATTTCATTCTCAGTAGGGGTAGTTTCAGTGCTGTCAGTGTTGTTGGTTAGGTCTGAACTGGTTTCTGCTGACAGTGTAAGGGTTTGGACATCTTCACTCAATTCTGCTTCTTTTTGGACAGGTGCAGGTAAAACAGGACGGGGATGTTTGTTAAGCGATGGACGTGTAAGTTTATAACTGAGCACAGACGTTTTGTTACCTGAAAAGCTGGGTAATAGGGACTTCTTTATTGTGGCTACTGGCAAAATGTTGCCACTAGCAGTTAAAGAGGGCTTTGTGAAACCAAATTTGTCTACTTTCCCTTTGGATAAAACTGGATTCGGCTGATTAAGGGGTGATCTAGGCACTGGAGATGGTGCTAAAGGTCTGGGGAGTTTGTTTGCAAGATCAGTAGCTTTATTAAAGGAAAAAGACCTGGTCATAGGTGGGTCAGTATGAGATGCTCCCCTCTTAAAGTATGTGAAACTCTGAGAGCGCTCTATGCTCTCTTTAGAAGTAGACTTGATACGGTCACTGGACAGGGACAGTTTGCTCTGCAAGCTTTTTTGTTGTGAAACGTGACCAAGACCAGACCCTGAAGAGCGTTCATTACCACTACTGGCTCCATTCAGAGTACCCATGCCATTGTATATAGTGTTGCCTGTGGAGAGGCGTTTGGGGGTAGTCATGCGGGAAACGGTTTTGGTAGGCTGTGGTATACTCCTACATTGTGCTGTCGAAACTGCACTCTTACATTTAACTACAGCAGCAGGGGAAAGTTTTTTAGTCACCATTAAAGGGGAGTCTGAATCTATAGTTGCACTAGTTTCCTCATCCAGGCTTCTACTGCATTGAACATTATTTCCAGTTTCCTCTTCACACTTTCTCCAGTTTAAGGATCGAACTTGTGTTAAACCATTCTGCCTGCCTACAGGTCCACCTTTACACTCATAGGAGGGAACTGGGAGTCCAGATCCTTGAGGTAGGGGAGACGTGGTGGTGCCTGAGCTGCGGGAAGAAAACTTGGGCAGCCTAGAGACCATGTTGAGCTGCTTGAGAGCCTTCTTTTCCATCAGCTGGGTTCACCACCATGGATGTGGACAGAACTGTAAAATCAGATAAAGAGAAATCATGAAATATGAACCAAGAAACACAATAGCTAGTCTTTTGTACACAATAGCAAATACTATAGAATACACAAGACATGTCACTCATAGTTTTGAATGGGGAAAAGTGTAACGGTCAATATGGGGAATGAAGCCCCGCTAACTACTTCAGGTGACAATCATCTATTGCTATAGACTGACATTTCTCGGGGGGGAAGCTTGGAGGAGACGCACAGTATGCTTTTACGACAGTTTGGTTGTCAACAAACACGGGAATCTCAGTGCATTCTTGTTACAGAGACAGAGGACATATATCCAGATAAAGCTTGAAATCTGTACTTTTAAATGAACCAAGTGCACTTGATAACACAAGTTTTCTGGTTTTGTAATCTGTATGAAACAAACACGAGGTACAATTAGTTCTGTCAAATGCCCATCACATGACAGCAACTACTCAAACCACCACAAACTTGTAAACCAAGACTCAATGTCATTTCTGGGGGAGTTTCACTATCAAGCTGTGAATTAATTCAGAAGAGCAGCGCAATCAGGCGAAGCATTACCCAGAAGATGATAATGTATAGAAGGGCCATAAATGAGGTTGGTGTCATTATGTCATTACTTTCCAGTGAGCATTTACTACTGTATTTGTTCATGTTAGTTAACATTAGTTAATGAAAATACAGTAGTTCATTATTAGTTCATGTTAACTCATGGTGCATTAACTAATGTAAACAAGCATGGACTTGGATGTTAATAATGCATTAGTAAATGTTCATATATGATTAATAAATGCAGTACATGTGTTGTTCATGATTAGTTCATGTTAGTAAATGCATTAACTAATGAACCTTATTGTAAAGTGTTACCCAAGTATGCAAAATTTGGACTTGAGTCCTTGGAAGTTCAAACTTGAAAAAACGAACTCCCAAGGACACAAAGACACAAGTCGGGTACTTCTTTAAATGGAACGGCCGTGTACTTTATAATGTCACTTACCTCACAATGGATTCATCGGTTTCACTGTACATTAACAATAAAATTATTTAATTATATAAATCACGGCCCTGTAATTAATATTATATAAACATAATTGATATATATTTTTGATTTAAGAAAATGTAAACATAAATCCAAAAGTGAAGTAAAATAAGTTATTATACACAGACACGTCTTTAATTATCAGATTTAATCAACTACAATGGACATTATACAAGTATATACACAATAAGAAATAAAGACATACACGGTAAGAAATAAAGATTACGTCAAACAATTTGTTAAACAAAGACAAACCTCGTACAACACTAAACCGTAATTAAAGACTATAAAAGGTAACAAAATAATACTGCCAAAATAATACACTTGAGAACAAATAATAGACTTAAAAAACTGTCCGTTAGATTTTCAAAAGATTAATTAAATATCATGTTTTAACCACAATGGAGTAATGTGATCCAGTGGTACATCTGAGATGGACTGGCCAAATTAAAGCTGCTATTGGTGGGGGAGGTGATGACGGAGCTCCCCCTGGCAGGCTGGGAGTCGGAGTCCGCATAAGCTGAGGCACATCATCAAAGACGTGCTATCTTTGTGAATAAACTGCCTTTTCGAGTTTAAAACAACTGTATTCTCGCCTGAAAAACCTGTTAAAACTTTATTTTGTGTCTGTTTTCTTCCTCACTATTAGCTTTCGCTGGTTTAGCTACAACGCATTTTGGGATACCTGTACTTCTCAAGTTCGCACAAATCCCGTTTTATGCATCCTTAGCAAAAGGGGCAGAGCAAGTACACATCCAGGAATTTTAGATGTCAATTTTGAATTGGAACAGAACTTTGGCAACGGTTGATGACGTTTCATGAAGACACAAGAACGCAAGTACAGACAAGGATGCATATTGAGAAACAGCCGTTTTGTGATAAGAACATTTAGAAATGAAACTAAATAGACAGTTGTTGTTTAATTTTATTGGTTATTTGTAATATGTAATGTAATCGTAAGATTGGCAAGTAGTTTTGGATAATTTGAGTTTCCCCATCCAAACAGAATGCCCGAGCATACTGAAAAGCGTTTCAAAGATGGCCACTGAGAGAAATGACTTGCCTTAAAGGGTTTTTTACAGAATGCCCGAGCATATTGCCCGAGAGACATATTGGAGCAGATACATTAATGTTAAGCAGAATCATTCAGGAAGATGATGCTTTTGTTTAAGGTTTTAGTTATTAGATAGACTCTAAGAATTAGAAAAAAAATATATATATATATATATATATATATATATATATATTTTTTTTTTTTTTTTTTTTTTTCTAATTCTTAGAGTATATATATGGAGAATGATCTCATTTTTTATTCTGTCCAATCTACTGTACTTTGCTGTAAAACATGTTCTACATTTGCTCTTAGATCTTTTTGATTCACTGTTGAAATCATTCATTCATTCATTCATTCTCCTTCTGCTTAGTCCCTTATTTATAGGGGGTCACCAAAGCAGAACGAACCACCAACTATTACGGTATGTGTTGTACGCAACGGATGCCCTTCCAGGCGCAAACTAGCATTGATAAACACCCATTCATTCACTTTCATACACACATATACACTATGACCAATTTTAGTAAATTCAATTCAACTGTCCTGCATGTCATTGGACTGTGGGGGAAACCGGAGCACCCAGAGAAAACCCAAGCGTACACGGGGAGAACATGCAAACTCCACACAGAAATGCCAACTAGTAAAGCCCAGACTCGAACCAGCGACCTTCTTGCTGTGAGACAACATTGCTTACCACTGAGTCACCATGCTGCCCCACATATTTGCATTGCAAATGCATTTAAAGGTATCCAATGTATGAACATAATGAATATATTTGCATTCATCTAAAATTTAATAGAAGTTATATTTAATTTCACCCCTGGGTCTGTGATGACCCACAGATATTAGATTAAAAGTATGCTGATTAAAAACAGAGACAACTAAGTAAGGACTTTTAATCAATCAAGATTATTTGGCAGGTTTGTTTGATTAGGATACTGGCTGGTCACAGCCCTCTAGAAATGAAATGGAATATTCTTGCTCTCTTTAAGTTACCCTCAAGATCTAAAGTAAATGATGTATGATCACTTCAGTAATGGGTGCTGTTATGATGATAATTCATTGTTGGTTACCTTGTGAGAGTCTCTTAAGAATTTCCTATGGGGTTTTAAAATTGAGATTTTTAATAAATAAGTAAAATCACAATGTTCTTATTTAGATACTTGTTGGAAACATACATTTTATGAAATAGACCTTCAAAATTATGTTATTAAAATTCTACATTTTTCTTGATGACTTGAAATTTTCACCAGATGTTGGTAACAACCAAAGAAATGCATATATGAAAAGAAAACAAATTGAATTAGTTTACAAATTAAGTAATTATGCTTAATGATTCATTATGTTTGATAAAATGAAATGACAGGAAAATAAGTATTGAACCCCTGAAGAAATGAAGATGTAAAAAGCAGTAAAAGCCCAGACAGCAGCTGAAATATCTCTGAAGTTATTTATCAACCCTCTGCCCTTCATCATTGTAAAATAATTTTAGCTGCTCTAGTCCAACATCTACATTACCAGGATGATAAAGATGAAACCAGGGTGGACATTTCAGCAATACAATGATCCAAAACAAAGACAAGGAAACTCTCAAGAGGTTTAAAAAAATGAAAATCAAACTGTGTGTTTGTTTGGTCCAGCCAATCACCTGATTCGAATCCAATTGAAAATACAAAATAAAAATCAGTTTTGCTAAACAAAACCCACAGAACCACCAAGATTTTTACACTATGTTGAAGCAATGCATGTGACCTAATTCTACATATGAGAGTCGTCATTTAGCTGCCTTTAAGATGGAGAAAATTCCAAGTCAACTATATAGGTGATGCAGTAGCGCAGTAGGTGGTGCTATCTCCTCACAGCAAGAAGGTCTCTAGTTCGAGCCTCGGCTGGGTCAGTTGGCATTTCTGAGTGGAGTTTGCATGTTTTCCTTACGTAACTGTGGGTTCCTCCAGTTGCTCCGGTTTACCCCACAGTACATAGACATGCGGTACAGGTAAATGGGGTAGGCTAAATTGTCCGCAGTGTGTGAATGTGTATTCAGTACCAATATTGCAACGTCCAAATCTGCAATAATAACATCGCAGGATCTGCATTGTTGATTAACAAGCATCCACAGTTCAGAACACATGTTATTTGTAGAGTCATTTGAATGTTTTTAAGGCCTGTGACTGAGTAAAATTTCAAACTAATTTAAACCATTTAGGGCACAATAAATTATAAAGTTTGTAGCTTTAACAAAATGTAATCATTTATACAATGGAAACTACAGTTGTCAACATTTTATCAAAAAAGTTTTACAAAGTTTTGATCTGCTTCCAACGCTGACAACTGCATTCGATGTTATTTTACATTTGATCATTTAATTTCTGTACTTCAACGCTTTTACCATAAAGCACTGTGGATTTTATTTGTATTTTAGTTCTACTGTATTAATTAATGCTATTCTATACAACAGTTCTCGAATCTGATTGGCTGATAGCAGTGCGATATTCTGTGTTATCAAAACTCCTACAGCCTCCTCACCTTTCTGTATTATTTCGATAGCAGATCAAAAAACTCACTACAGTTTGACAAACATTGCAGCTGTTGAACAACATAATGTACTTATGCTGTACAACTCATGAACTTCCGCTGGCGCAGCTCTGCAGCGACACGGGCTCGTGCTACGGTTGTTTGTTTGTTTATTTTAGTTTGTTTGTAAGTTTGCCAAGTGTTTTTTTCTTTTCTTGTTTTAAGTCTTAATTGTTTTGTTTTATGTATTTTTACTGTCTGTTTAGACATTGTTGTAGCACCTTTTATGCCCAAGACAAATTTCCTCTCGGGGACAAATAAAGTTAAACCTAACCTTCTTTTGAGGATTTTTTAGGTGGGAATGGAGTTTTTTAGATTGCAACTATGCAGT